CCAGGGTCACAAACTATCTTCTCACCAAATTTCATCTAAATCGGTTCAGTAGTTTCGGAGCCTATTCAGTACAAGCAAACAAAAAATCAAATCTTTCCTCTTTATAATACGAGTATCCATGCTTAATATTATAAATGTGAAAGTGTTTGTTTGTCTCTTCTTTCACGTCGAAACGGGGTGACGGACTGAAGTGATTCTTTATGTGGAGACAGTTAGAGGGCTGGAGAGTAACATATGCTACTTTTTACCGCGGACGATTATCTCATTCCCACGGGAAAACACGTTTTTTTTACAACCCAAAAAAAATAATATTTATGATCAGAATTATTTGAAACTTGGTATTAATGCTCTTCAATAGAATTAAATAAATACATACATACGTGTTTTAGCGTTTTTCGAAAGTCATCATATAAGGGGTTAATATGGGATGAAAGTTTGTATGAAAGATACTTTTTAGTTTTTCTGTAGTTTCAGCGCGAGTGAAGCCGCGGGTTCTGCTAGTTAGTAGATATACGATATACATATGCACCAGTACTTTGAACTGAAGTCATATTTCATAAGCAGGCAATGTTTTCCAAACAATATATGTAGGTTTAAACAATGATAATAATTCGATGACATGACATCACCTACCAGAGGTATTTGATAGCAATTATACATACTGACTGTGACTTTTAATTCATACAGTACATCTAAAATTTGAGGTTTTTAGACCAACTTCGTAAAAAGAACAGTTATTTGATGCCTTCGCTAAATCCTAACCAATTTTCATTATTTGACATCTATCTATAGGTGCATATAATGAAAATTCTGTATCGAATCTGTACATTAAATATTTTTTTGGAAAATCTTATTGAAATAGTCATTATTATAGATACAGAGGCCGAATCTATAGTTTTTAGAAGTTTTGTCTGTCTGTCTATCTGTCTGGGAACTCATCTCGAGAAAACCACTAGACAAATTTTGATGAAATTCGGAATGATGATAGGTGGTTGGTTATCCGGGTCAGCTTAAAGGATACTTTTTACTGCGGGAAAATTCTCATCTCTGAGAAATCTATACTAAACGTTAAAACGAAACTCGCTAGTTTTTTTAATAAATACGTTATATCTCAAGGGTGGTGAGACCGATATTAACAAAACATAGCTAAGAACAACCGCAAGGAAACTCGCTTTGAAATGAAAAAAACCGCATCGAAGTCGGTCCATCTGTTTGAGAGCTACGATACCACAGACAAACACACACACACAGACATCGACGTCAAATTTATTACACCCCTCTTTTTGCGTTGGGGGTTAAAAATAGCGTATAGCACTCTGTGGTCATGTAGCTTCCTATTCGTGAAAGAATTTTCAGAATCGCTTCATAAGTTTCAGAGATTACCACCTACATACAAACTTCGACAGACTTGACGACACGTTGAGCTCAGTTCTTAGTGAACCTACTTGCCACGCCAGCGGTCGCGGGTTCGAGTCCCGCTGGGGGCATTCATTTGTGTGATGAGCACGAATGTTTGTACTCCAGTCATGGTTGTTTATATTTATAATATGTATTTATTTAAAGTTATATATGTGTAGTGTATCAACTATCTGGTATCCATAACACACGCTTCGTAGCTTACCATGGAACTGGATGGTGATGGGTGTTTATGTCTTAACATATTTATTTATTACTAGCATTGCCCGCGGCTCCGCCCGCGTTCAGATGACCAAAAACTAAATTCTTAGGTGTTACATATTAGTATACTCTTACATTGCAGTTTTTGTATTTTTCCTCAGAAATAAGATATTTTCCCGCGGTAAAAAGTATCCTAGGATCGCGCGCTACATCGCCCGGTTTATATAGCTTGAGCAGGCGGTCGAGCGATGCGGGGCAGAGGGGATGGACTCGCCGTAGGCATCTCAATGCTCGCCAAGCATTAAAAATGTTTCGCTACTAATTATTTCTAACAACGATATCTCAAAAACTATTCATCTGATTGATTTAGTGTAAAGAGCAATTTTAATCTGCATTAAATGACTAAGCTAACTAAAATATTCATTTGGATAAGGATTAATACCGAACTAAAGAAAATAACTTTGAAAATAACGTAATGTTTTTAATTAAAAATGTTAACATAAAAGTGGTTATTGTAAGTCAACCGTAAGAGATAGAGATATGCTATCGCGGACTTTTTTGTAGCATTTTTATAGATTTTGAATTCTCTAGTACATTACTTAACTGTATCTTTGCTAGTTTACGCGGCGTTCGCGTGGAAAGTTCCCATTTGGCGAGATTTTTTGCGACCTCTTCAACATTTGTCGCCGTATTTCAGCTAATTTACATAAAAGCATAATAAATTATATACCTAAACCTTCCTCAAGAATTACTCTTTCTATTGTTGAAAACCGTATAAAAATCCGTTCAGTAGTTTTCGAGTTTATCGCGTACAGACAGACAGGAGGACAGACAGGAGGACAGAAAGACGCGGCCGGGGGACTTATTTTTATAATAAGTATAGATTTATTATAATATTAGTGAAGACTTTAGAGTACCTAATAATAACACATGAAATGTCGTTTAATTAACATTAATTATATTCAGTAATATAACGTTTAAATATGACGTCTGGGAATAAAAAGTGAAAGGAAATAGTATATTTTTATTGTAACAATATGAATATTAAATTGAAGCTTTTATAAGGCCAATTCCATATATGTATACAAATGTCTTTATGCTACCTTTTTGTATGCAAGGACAGGTGTTTTGTCCTTTTTAGTTATTTTTAAACTGGATAGTTTTGACTTAAGCTTGAAGGTTGAATCGATCTATTTGAAACTGTACATAAATATCGATGACGATCTCTGTCTGTCTTGTCTGCAACAAGTATATATATATATATATATATAATTACCTTTGACACGTCTAAAACCGTAGTCTCTCTCTTGACCATGTGCGTTGTAAAACGTACAAAACGACGGAAACCAAAAATCATAATAAATCCGCGAAATAATCCGAAAAGATAGTTATATTTAAAATGTCAAATATTCGCGTAAATCTAAGAATGTATTATGTGAGACAGTTAACAACTAATTTGGTTCTGTGAGCCGATTAGATGCTGGATTTGATGGGTTTTTATGTGTTCCATACAAAACAATTACTTAAAATGACCTTATTATTAGTTTTTTTTAAAACTATGCTTATAAATTTTTTATTTTTAATAAGTACATTGCTTTACAGCGACCATAGTCAAGGGAGGGAGTCCAGTCTTAGTCTCTTCCGTGATTGCTGTAAAGCGTTCGAAACGTCCGGAACCAAAAATCAAAATAATCCCGCGAAAGAATCTGAAAAGATATACTTTTATTTAATACTAGCGACTTATCCTCGGTTCGTCCCTACTTACCTTTTAACGTTTAGTATACATTTCTCAGAGATGAGATATTTTCCCGCAGCAAAAAGTATCCTATATGTTGACCCGGATAACCAGCTATCATCATACCAAATTTCATCAAAATCCCTCCAGTGGTTTTTCCGTGATGCGGTCACAGACAGACCAAAATTCTAAAAACTATAGATTCGGCCTCTGTATCGATAATAATGCCTATTTCAATAACATTTTTCAAAAATATTTAATGTACAGATTCGGCTTGGTTACAATTTTATTATAAGTATGGTATAGATGTCAAATACCTTAACATGGTTGTTGTGAATTGTTAATGGGAAAAACTGTATAATATTTAATTTGCATAGAGTAATGCACTTAAAGAATGGAAAATATATTAAAAAATGACGTTTGACCTCCGACTGACGACTCGATGACTGTCGCGGAAATAACAACCTAGCCCAGTCGGGTAGTCTAAAATAAGAGCCTAATCTCAAAAAAAAATCAAGGCTAAAATTTCATTTCACCAGCCTTTTCTAGAACAATTATAAAGACTAAAGTTGTTAGTCTTTTTATATTTTTTTCTAAAAGTTGAAAATGGCCGGGATATTGCGGAAAAACGATTCCTCCTTAAAATCAAGATGGCGGCTAAAGCACCGTTCGAATTTTGCTCGCGATTTTTAATTTACACTCCCAGTGACAGTGACAAGTGACAATGACAGTGACAGTTTTTCAAGGTTCAATGCTAGCCCGACTGGGCTATAATTATATTGTTGTTTTCTTCATAACATTGTCACTATGGAATTTTTTTATGGGAAAAACTGTATAACATTTAATTTACATAGAGTAATGCACTTAAAGAGGAATAAATATATTGAAAACTGACGTCTGACCTCCGACCCTCGACTCGACCGGTGATTGTCGCGGAAATAACAAACATTGTCTGTCAAAATTAATAATATAATACTAACAATTTTCCCATCACTAAGTGTGATACGTGTGCGTAATTTTGACCGCTTGCAAAAAAAGGTACTCTATAGACTATTCTATATCTATTTCTTGTGTGTATGTTTATATATTTGATTATTTAGTAACGATGTACCTTTGCTTCGCTCAAGTGCGTCCGTAGGTACGTTTTTTTCTTGAGTAGAAATGTAAGCCTAAATTACTCCTTATAATATAAGTTATCTGTCAGGGAAGGTCCGTCAAAACCAGTCCAGCCGTTTCAAAGGATAACCGGAACAGACAGACAAAAAAAAATTAAAAATTATGTTTCTCTTATAACTACTGTATATAATTTCATATGCATTTAGTAAAAAGCTGTTATTTTGACATTACAGACACTTCATATTTCATTTATCTGTAGGTATAGATTTACTAATTAATTGCCCTCTCTTAGAGTGCATCTCTAGGCACGTTTTAAATAGATAAAAATAGTTATTGCGAGTGTACTTTAGGAGATAGACATATACTATTACGGACTTTTCTATAGGCCTCTATAAGACCTACCATTTTGTAATACATTGTTTTGTTGTATCTCTAAGGTTTAGACAGTTTAGCCATTTAAGCGTATGAAGAGTCTTGTTTTGAAAGTTGTGCTTCTATTACATATTTAACTAATATTATTCCTTTCTTCCAGGGTTCGTCTTAGCGTCAGCAGTGGTTCTACTGCTACTAGGCATCATATGTGCGATATTCTTCGGCACGTGGATACGGATGTTCATAGACCATGTAAGTTTTTTTTTCAACCAGTTATATTTAATACTTTCTTAGATTTACGAGATAATTTGAAATTTTAAACAAAACTATCTTATCGCATTTTACGCGTATACATTTTGGTTTTTGGTTCACGTTTCGAATACTTTGCAGCAAGCATGGTCTCTCCCGTGACCATGGTTGCTGTACAGCATTCGAAACGTCGGAAACAAAAAACCAAAATAAATCTGCGAAAAAATCTGTCATATTTATATGAAATTAGGTAGTGGTAGTCCAGTGGTAACACGCTCGCTTGGAAAACCAAGGGTTCAAATCTCAAATCATATTCCAACATGATTACCACTTGAGGAATTTGATGAGGAAACCTGATATCTGAGAGAATCTAACAAGTTTTTGAAAGACGAGAAGTCCGCCCGCACTAATCCAGCGTGGTGGACTAAAGCCTGATCCCGTATTGAAGGGAGGTCCGTGCCCAGCAGTGGGACTTTAAAAACGGATGAGCACATACGTTGTTTATAACAAGCGACTTGCCCTAGCTTCACTCGGGTGCGTCCATAAGTGCCTTTTAGCGATATATTTTATTTGTGGTTATAGTCCACCACGCTGGCCAAGTGCTGGTTGGCGGGTTTCACGTATTATTCCAAAAGTTGCTAGATTCTCTCAGACATGCATGCAGGTTTCCTCACGATGTTTTCCTTCACTGTATATATGTATAAATATTTGTTATATATGAGATATACACTTTAATTCATCCTAATCTGTCCAACCGTTTGAGTGTGAAAGAGTAAAAAACCTACACAAACAAACAATTCCTCATTTATTTATGTATATAATTCGGAATTTATATATGTACGTACATTCCTTAAAATTAGTGAAGACTAAAACTCTTTCCGGCTGCGATACGTGTAAATAATGTTAATTTTACACCAAAATTGCCAAAGTGTTTTCGTCACGTGTTAATTTGTATTTGATATGCGACCGATTTTTTTTAGCGTTGACTTCACTAGCTACTGAGTCGGCTTCATTCGCGTGTTCAGAATTGATTGATCCTTTGAAGTCATTACATAAGGGGTCATTCATTAATTAAGTAACGGTCCTGAGAGGGATGGGGGTTCTCAAAATCTCTACATTTGTCCTTACCTAATGAATTAATGACCCCTAATACTACATAATACTATGTTTTTTCGTAAACTTGTTCTCATCTTTTAGTTCACTTTTTACGCGGTCGGTTTTTTTTATTTAGTAAATATATATTTTTTACAACTATTATTATACTACTTGACTAAAATTGATTTGATTGTTAACTCTTTAGGTTCGCTACGAACGCCATCTGTTGAAGTAATGCGAAGTGATAATTTCCATACCATGCTGTTTCTTCCTTTGGGTTTAATTATATATTACAAATTATTAATAATTCCTCACTAAAGCATTAGCAACATGAACGAGCCCTATGATTTCAAACCAGTTGCAAGTATTAGTGGGCGGAGCTAGTCAGTTTTTTTTTGTCCTTATCAGTTTGTATGCTAATATGGGACAGAAAAAGCGGTTTGCATGGTTCACTCCGTGAACAGAGTTTAAGTACTTAGCGACGGAACTGAGCGAAGCAGGTTTAAATCTCTAGTTATATTGAAATTAAAAGAACTAACAACATAATAAACGCAGTGTATAAATAGCTTTGTACGGTTCATTATAACAACTTACTCTCAACCTCAGTATCGCCACAATGTTTTGTAATAATAAATAGCGATAGCAAAAAAAAATGTACGTACATTAAATATAAATTTAATATAAATATTTGGTATTTTAAATAAAACTATCTTTTCGGATTATTTCGCGGATATATTTTGATTTTTGGTTCTCAACGTTTCGAATGCTTTATAGCATATAGTCATGGGAGAGACTAAGGTTATAGACAGACGTCTCAAACGCAGATTATTATACGCATGCGTATCTGGTATTAAACTACTTAGTCTTTTGTAAATTATGCTTATTATGTAATATGTAATAGTATTTACCGATGGCTCCGGTTGCAAGAATTAAGTATCTAGAATAAAAAAGTATGTCAACATATAGGATACTTTTTATTGCGGGAAAATATCTCATCCCTGAGAAATCTATACTAAACCTTATCTACGAGTATATATTATATATCAGTCAAAAGTGATTGACTGATGTATCAACGCGCAGGCCAAACCCTTAAGGCTAGAAAATTAAATTTCACGCACGTATTCCTCATATGACGAAGGCATCCACTAAGGAAGGTTTTTTCAAAATTCAACCCATAAGAGGGTAAAATAGGGGATGAAAATTTGTATGAAACCTATCTTTTTAGAGAGTTTATTTGTAGGTATAGCGCGAGCGAAGGCGCAGGTTCTGCTAGTACAATATAAATATGATATAAATTAATAGTATAAATTTATCAAAGGTTAAATAGTCATATAATGAGTAGTGGCGATAATATTACTACATAGTTGATCGCGGCCAGGCTTTGTAAATGTTCTAGTCAAGACTATGTTTAGTGTTACGTACAGACTACAGGTTAATCTATACTTCTATACTAATATTATAAATGTGAAAGTTTGTGAGTATGGATGTTTGTTACTCTTTCACGCCAGATCGGCTGAACGGATGTGGATGAAATTTGGCACAGAAATAAATTATAATCTGGAATAACGCATATCTTTCTTTTTATTACGGAAAAATGTACAGTTCCCGTGGGGTAGGTTTGTTTTTGTTTTTCTAGAGGCGCTTTGTATTCGAGCGAAGCGAGGGTGGCCCGCTAGTAACAAATATACAGCGACAGTTAAAAAAGATACAAAATATCATAGAAATTAATTTTTTGTCTTAGTTGTTTATATGGCTAGTTTAATACAATATATTGATTTAGTTAAAATTTCCACATCTTTTGTATTTTTAAATACATATGACATATATAATTAAAATTAATTTATTTTTATTTTTATGCTGACCCTACGCGCGCTAATTGTTAAAACTTTCGTGTAAAAAGCGATTAGGCAATGCAAGTGAATTGAAATTATTCATGTAGTAATGTGGTGTTGCGTCACATCTTCCCACTGTTGGGCTAAAATTAAAATGAATAAACTTTTGATTAATGTTAACTTAACGACACGTTTGGCTCAGTTTGTAGTGACCTTACTTGCTGTGCCAGCGGTCGCGGATTCGAGTCACGCTAGGGGCATTCATTTGTGTGATGACACGAATGTTTGTACTCCAGTCATGGGTGTTTATATTTATAATATGTATATATTTAAAGTTATATATGTGTAGTGTGTGTGTGTAGTATTATTTTGCACTTTTCTGCTCCGCTAAGTGACAATCTTTCTAAACCCCCATAGTTTGACTGGAAGAGATGATAATTAGATAGCCCTCAATTTTCACGTAATGTAGTATATTTTCATTTTTTATTTGCAATAAATATGATTCCGGCCACGGCGGCCAATCTCATTGAGACTAGCCAACTGCGCAGAAGATATTATAGTGCACAGGTGTACGCGCAGACACAACGTGCACTCTCTATTCCTGTCACTCTCATACTCCGGTGGGCCGACTGCTCGACACGAGTTAAGGCGCAGGACCGACGGCTTTACGTGCTCTCCGAGGCACGGGGGTGAAACACCGCCAACTTCCCAACTCCGGGCTGTTACTGAGGCTTACTTATACAGAAAGACTCAATAATTAAACTTGGCCCGACCCGGGACTCGAACCCAGGATCTCCGGGTGTGCAGCTATACATGCTAGCCACTACACCACCGAGGCAGTTAAATGCAATAAATATATACAGTAGTGTACCTATATAGAAACAGATTCTACATACAAAACGTATCTTATGGTCTAAAATCTAAAGTGTTTGGAATACCCATACTCTTAATGCCGTATATAGAAAAAAATCCAAATAAAGGCAAAGTTAAATTATACATTCGTGTCAACGGCCCAACGGCCTTATTTAAAGGCCATGAGTAGAGTCGCCCGAATTCCATCGAAATTACATATTTATATCTGTGATACAAGTAAAATAACTCGACTTCCCATCACGCTTATATTATAAATGGGAAAATTTAGGCACCTCACAATGACTTAAAAAAATTCTGTGATTTTTTTTAAATAGAACTAACTATCTTTTCGGTTTTTTTCGCGGTTTTTTTTTTATATTTTGTGCCAGATGTTTCTAATGCTTTAGCAATCATGGTCGAACTCAGAAACAGAAAATATAGTTTTATTTAAAAATATAGTTACATTTTACCGTTTAGTATAGATTTCTCATTTTCCTGCGGTAAAAAGTATCGTTTATGTTGACCCGGATAACCAGCTATCATTATTCCAAATTTCATCAAAATCTGTCCAGTGGTTCTCTCGTGATGCGTTCCCAGACAGACAAAAATTCTAAAAACTATAGATTCGGCCTCTGTATCGATAATAATGAATATTTCAATAAGATTTTCCAAAAAATATTTGATGTACAGATGCGACTCAGTTTTATTATGACACATTGATAGTGTTATATATATACTTATTCACGCTTGCTCGGGTGCGTCCCTAGGAACCCGGATTTCGTTTACAGTTTCATGGGTTTTAATTTTTTTTTGCGGAACCCTGATTCTTTTTCTAAAATAAAAGTAGCCTAAGTTACTCGTTATAACATCATCTATCTGCCAGTTAAAGTCTCGTGAAAATCGGTCCAGCCGTTTCGGAGATTAGCCGGAACAAACAGACAGACAGACAAAACAATTTTTTTTTTAAATTATTTATTCAGTAAAAAGCTGTCATTTTGCCTTTACAAACAGACACTTCAATGTTATTTATCTGTTTATATATATTGATAATTGGATGAACCGTTAATTCAAAGCAAGTTTCTCCTTTTGGTAAGAACTCTATGAATCAAAACCGCTACGATTTTGAGTCATCACTACTGTTACAGCATACATCATGTATGTTTATTCGATTGATTTTATAATCATCTTTGTTGGTCGTCTTATACAATATCATTTAAAGATACT